TTTAAAAGAACAGAATACAAACAACATCTTTATGTGGAGATACAAAGTTGTGGCTATACTGTGGTCTCAGTTCTCTCATGCAAATGTTTCTTTTAATGTCTTTCTCCTTTCTAAAGAAGCCTGGTAGGTGCTTCTATGGTCAGATGTGTCCTATTGAAAAACTTCATCAGGATTGTCATGTAACTTCTTGCATGGCTAATTTCCAACTCTGTATGAAGCTTGACATCCACAGCAATAACTAGATATGCCTAAATAGAGAAGACTAAATTGAGAAAAGGTGAGAAGGCTTTCACGTCCCTTGCAGGGACTAGCCTGTTCCTTAAACCAAAAAGTTTGGTTTCTACTGCAACAGCATAGTTGTAGTATGTCTTTTTGCAAAGCGTGTTTGGGGCAGTTGTTGCAGCATCTGTGCATTTACATCAATAAATGTCATGCAGCAGCTGTATTCAATAACAAAGTGTTGGTTCTTAGCTTAAAAAAGTTAGTATGAATAAAATGTTACTGGTAGGATTAATAGAGGTTCCAGCCTCCCAGTCACTGGCTACCGAGTGTTTATTTTCAACTGAATAGAGTTGCAGAGGAGAGAGCGGGAGCTGATATAAAAGTAATAGGTGTCAGAGTGACACAGTACAGAATATACCAGAACTACCGGAATGCCTTATTAATGTGGTGGTTTTCACACAATACGACTGAATCAGTCATAGACAAATTTCTACAGTCTGTGGGCTTTGTTACCACTACTGGCTGTGGTTCAGCACTGATAAAAATAAAATTGAATGTACACTATGTGCACCCTGTAGGAGGATTCTTTCAGTGCCAACGGAAGCATTGTCTGTTCTTATTTGAAGAAATACAGCATTTGCTACGAAGGAATGAAAATAGAAATTTCCTAAATTACTGAAAAATTATAAACCAAATGGCATCACTGTTGATCTTAAAATTATGTGGAACACATTGACGAAATGTCTTCAGGCACTAAATGTCTTCAAGAGCGTGCCTTCTAAGAGTAAGGTGTTTTCCTTTTTAAGAGGATTTGGTGTCACTTTGATGAAAGCAGTTAGGCCAGAGTTTTGGTAACAGCAACGTGGGCTACCCTCAGCAAAAATTGTGGTAAGTTAACTTTTGATATACAATGAGCAGATGACAATAGTAAATAATGAGAAAGGCGGTTCGTTCACTTTTTCCTAGTAGAAGTAATTCAGTGGATTTAAGCACACTCTTATTTTTGAGTGATACCTCGGGAGGAGTTATGAAGAAAACTCGGCATGTTTCAGTGGTTGGCTCTTAGATTTTTGTTCCAAAGATGCTGAAGTGTGGCTGCCATTTGCATCACCTTGAGGTGCATCCAGCTGACCACCAATGGCAGGAATACAGCGAAGTGCCTATAAAACGAGCCCTCAAGCAGCAGGACTGGGACAGCACTCACCTGTCTGGGGCAGGGTGTCTGCAAACACCTGTTGGTGGTGCATCTCGTAATTATAAATTCACTGTATCACCCTTAGGTTAGTTATGAGATCTTCGGCAGCTAACTTACTACGAAAAAGAATCCCAAATTAATTGGCCATAGCTGTTCTGTTGTTATAAAACAACTTCTTGTTCTATCTCAAAATTTGGAAGAAACCCATGGTTTAATAGAAAGGTGGGCAAGGGGAATTAATTGTCTTCTGTTATGCTTTGGAGCACCAGTGACTGATAATGAAGGACAATAGATACAAAGTTGTCCTAAGTAGATAATACAGAACCTGGCACAGGAGCCTTTGGTTACCTTGCTGTTTATCACACAACTATAACAACTATACCTTGAGTTTCCTGGTCACTTTCTGAACATGGTAGAAGCTCTAGTGTCAAGAAAACCTTCTCCAGAACAGGCATGTAAAGCTAAGCTTAGAGGCTTTTATCTTAGTTCTGGAGGACCTGAATCTTTTGGCACTTAACTAAAAAATAAATAAATAATCTTTTTTTTTTAAACTTTTAAGATGCAGAATTTTTGCTTTTCTTTTTGTCCTCTCTCTCTCTAGAGTGGTAGGGATCATTGAAGTACCAGAACACATTCCAGCCTGTTTGGAACTGGGAATGATTACTATTTCAAACCTAGCTGTTTTCAGTCATGCTATTTTACTTTAATCAGTGAAAAATGTTTTGTCAACCATGACTGGTGCTATAGTGAGAACTGATCTGGCTACGATACCTTTGTGATAGCTGGTTTGCATGGAGGAACAGCAACCACTTCAGATGTCAAGAAAAAGATAACTCTGTAGGAAGTACAGGGTTTTAATGTCACTGCCTGGGGGGGGAAATGTGTGTGCATGGGAGTTGAAGGGCCCTAAAAAAAAAAAAAAGGGACCAAAAACCCTCCAAAACAACAACAGAAAAATGCTCCTGAGTAGAAAAGCGATTGTACTGTGACCCCTTCCTACCAAACTGTTGAGGTATTGTTCTCCACAGATGATATATTTTTGAGCTGGGTAAATAACTCCTTATTGCTTTCAAATCTAGACCCCCACAGATCTTGCCACATGTACCCTGAAGTATCCAGGACTCCACACCATAGGTTACCTCAGTCTGAAGCCAGCTGGTTTTTCTAGGTGTGTAGTTAATCAGAAACTGGTTATTTCTCAGTCCTCTTCCTGCAAATACATTACATTGGCACTCAGAGTTCCTTTTGGACAGCTGAGAATTGAATAATAGCAAGGGGCTCCTTGTATCAGAATAATGATGAGGGGAAAATGGATGAGAAGCATGCAAATGCTACCTTGAAGAGTGGTCCAAATTGTGAAATGCACTGAGCATAATATCCTTAGCTCGCTCTGACTCTGAGAATTAGGAGTTTGGACAAAATGCTGTGTAACTCCTAGATTTTAGGCTTAACAAGTAATTATTAATTATTAATTATTAATCGCCTGTTCTTTTTTTTTTGAAATTACATCCATTTTCACATTACTTATTCTGCTGAGTGGCTTCTCCAGATTGCCTTTGGTCTGCACAAACAAGTCGTGGAACTGCGAAGAGGCAAGCTTGCAGAACTTGAACAGTAAGGCTTGCCACAGACTAATAAAACAGCTACGAGCTGTTGCTGTAGCTTGTGCTGCTGTGGGGTGAATCCTCACCCTGCAGAAAACCTGTTTGTAGCAGCTACCAGCTTAGGTACTGATGGCAAGAACAAACTGATGAAGGTTCAGAAAGTAACTGAGGAAGCCTTCATGGTCCTAAGTCCCTTCTAAAATAAAAGAATAAACTCTGCTGCATGAAGCAGAGCCTTCAGAGTTTCGGTCGTACATAGATGGCACTCTTCTTCTAGGGTAGTGTTTCTGTTGAGCTGGATTTCTTGCTCTGTGCTGCCACAAGCTGCAGCATCCCATAGGCCAGGCAGCCCCCAAATCAAGCACCAGAGTGAAGAGGGATGTTTCCAGATCACTGCACTTCTGAAAGCCTCTGACCCTGGGCTAGAAGAGTTTTCTGGATGTGCTGTGTTCTGCTGTACTGTAACACAGCTTCTTGCTGTTCTTTGTCTCTCTTTCATCTAGTGCTCCGCTCCCTTTGTGTATGAGACTGTACCTTCTCCACCCTTCGTTAAAACGCAAAGTTTTGAGAGACCTCATAAGGTCACTTCGTCCCTTCCCTGACACTGCTGCAGCATAAATGTTGATGCATTTGTTTAATGATTTGCCTGCCACTTCTGACAGATGGCTGTTTAGTCTTATACATCTGCTGTGATGGAGCATCTGCAACTTTCCTTGACATCTCGCTAAGCTGTTTTGCTGTTCTTTTCTGCAGTTTATTCTGGGCATTGTTTGCGGCGCTGAATTGGAGTTACTGTTTGTTTCTTCATCGGTGCTTTATCATATTACTGTTTCTGTTCACTTCGCATAACTTTTCTTGTGATTGAAGACTGATGGTGCTGTACCGTCTGCGCTGGGTTAGAATGAGAAGTTTGGAGAGGGGAGGTGGCACCTTCGAGGCCATTGATCCCATCTTTATAACTTTGCCCTTTTAGTTACAAGCAGATTATTTGCAGGGTGGTTCAAGATGCACAGGCAGAATCAGAAGGACCAAACTTTGCATAAACCATTTGTACTAAACATTTGGAATGCTGGCAACATAAATCAACAACAATATCTATTACAAATTCATCACTTTACCAGTATTATCTTTGATAGAACTGGTCCAAACATGTGGGTAAGTGAACCATATCTCAGGAAGCTTAGCCCTGCTGTAAATTAATTATTCAGGACACACAGAACCTGGCCCCTTTAATGTATAGTAATTCTTTCTAGCCAGCATCCTGGACTTTAACTTCAGTGGCAATAATAAATAGGAAAAGTCTCAGGTGAAGCCAGTATTTTAAAGTAATTAATCATCTTCCCCTCACGGTCCCTCCGCCTCACTCTTGGTTTTCTTTAACGAGGAAATTTCAGTAATAAATCTTTAATGATATATGTTAAGAATTGTTCATTAGTTCTTGTCCGCTTACTTCTTTTTGATGGTTTTATGTTGTATGTTGGGAAGTTAAAATGCATATGAAACTCTAAGTTACAGAAAACTAACTTGGCACAGTCTGAGAGACTGCTTCTTGGGTTGTGCATGTAGTCTGGTACAACCTCCAGTGGGAATTGTTGATTAATAGCAGTGGGACTGTCAAACAAATACGTGGGTTTGGCACCAGAATTACAGCATGGTCACACACAGAAGGGTAAAAAGTGATTAGCCTGCCTCTAAATTGGGGGTGAAAGTTCTAATTCTCAGTCTGATAACGTGCAGGGGTGCAGGATGTTAAGTGTCCCCACTGCTGGCAGTGCCTGTGGGGGAGGAAGGCGAGGGCCGTGCTGCCTGTGCCGCGGTGGGATGTATCTGTAAATAATTCCTGTGAGGCGTGAGCAGCCATCACGCCTATTCAATGTGACAGGGACAGATGTGACAGATCGGTTCTGACACACTTCCACGCCACGAGTCCGTGGCTGGAGGTGACTCGTGTCCTTCCCCCGGCCCCGTCCCCGCTGCAGGACAGCACAACGACGCGCGGATGAACCTCGCCATCGCCCTCACTGCTGCCAGGTACGGCGCTGCCACCGCCAATTACGCTGAAGTGCTGCGCTTGCTCAAGACGACGGACCCAGGCACCGGGAAGGAGCGCGTGTGCGGGGCACGCTGCAGGGACGTCCTCACAGGTGTGTGTGTCACGGTGCTGCTGGCGGAGGTGTGGGACCGAGGGCTGGGTGCCCTGTGCCCGCTGTGCATCCTTGGTGCTGCGCAGCTGGTGAACACCACGGTGCTCTCCAGCAGGCGTTACTGTGCTTTAGCTGCTAGGAAAGGGCACTCTTAAGGGAGTTTGCTCCTCGTTAAAGAAACAGAAGTCATAAAACAAAGAGCAATGGGAAAGGCTGTTGGTAAATATCAATGAACTGACAAAGGAGCCATCTTCCCAGAGTGCAGTGGCATAGCATTAGTGTCAATCATCTTTAACTTCTGTCAGATTTTTCACTCAAATCCCAGTGTTTTGGCAGGGTAGACTGAGCTTTACATCCAAACCCTTCTGTCAAGCAAAGATGATATTGTAAAATGCTGTGTTGTACAGTAATAATACCATTTACTGAGTCTATGGGTTGAGACTGAAATCTCTCGTCTGGGAGGCAGATTTCAGCTCAACTTCTACCCTGTCTCCTACCCTGCCTTTGCAGACAAAACAGAATTTTACTGCAAAAGGTTTTCTTTCAAATCTCGTATTAAATAAAAACTTTTTATTTAATATTCTAACAAAAAATTCCAAAACAATTCCAGCTGTTCAGACAAAGACAATATACTTTACAGTAGGTTAGGTTCATAGGCAGATTAATAATACAGAGTGTCAGTGGGCAGGAAAACAAATGGTGCACATGATTGATGCTGTTTTCTTTCACAGGGCAGGAATTTGATGTCAAAGCCAAATGTGTTATCAATGCTACAGGACCTTTCACAGACTCTGTGCGCAAAATGGATGATCAAGAAGTACCAAACATCTGTCAGCCAAGTGCAGGCGTGCATATTGTGATGCCTGGTTATTACAGGTAACGATATTCAAAACCTAACCCATTTGTAACAATCTCTGCTGGTGTCTGTAATAAACAAGCTTGTGGAGACGCAGTTGTGGTTTTTATGGTAGACTGGAATGCTTTTTTCTCTTTCCTTTTTTTTTTTTCCTTTAAGAGAAGGTTCTGGCACTATGCCTATTAAAATACCAATTTTATCTAGTGAAAAAAGACTGAAGTCTTACAGTTTGTAGTTGAAGCTTACCAGGGCAGACGTGCTGTTGAAGCAGAAGGACATTTAGGCAGAGTATATGCCACAGACTTGTGAAAGGAAGCTTTTCTAATAATGGGTGGGTTGAGCGTACTGACTGCTTGTTCACCACCCCCCTCAGAAAACAAGTGTATAAAGCCTTCCAGAGAGGTTGCCACCTTCATGCAAAATTTTCTTTCCTATTTGTTATCAGACTCTCTAGGCAATGTAATCAGTAAACAGTACATCTGCTGTTACTCTGCCTCTAGTATTAGTCTATATCGACTCTACTCATAGTAAATATGAATGCAGCATGTATGCAGCATAGTGTGTAGTGCAAAGTAGCATTAAACTGTACAGGGGTGCCAGCCCTCCCATGGCTGTTTTGGTGAAAAGGAACTATATTCCTCCACTGACCTCGTTACAGAAGAGGTTCCTGTGGCATTCCGTGCCACATACATGTACATGTAAGCCTTTTCAGTTGAAGCTCAAATAATACCTTTGGTTCCTGAAGTCATTAGTTTCCTATTGGCAATTTACACTTACAGACTTCAGTTAGTTCTGTTGATAGTGCACTGAGAATGATGCCTTCCATACGATCATTGCCCTCCTCTGTGAATACCAAATTAGATTTCCAGCGTACAAAATACTGTTGTCTAAGTTGTGCCAATAGGACATGACAATACACTATAAAACTGAGGCATTTTTGGCCTTGTATATAATTATTCTTGTAGTCTCTTGTGTCTTTGCACATGAAAACCAGGAAATGACCTGGATAGTTGCTTTAAAGCACTAGCAGTGACAATAAATAGCTTGTAATCCCAGCTTCTTCGTATACTATGACAAGCATATGTACAATTACATGCTTTTAGTGTAGGGCCACAAAGTCAGTTTTTAAACTTTGAATCACTTTGTAGGTTCAAAGTCAAAGATTGCTTGGTATGCATGAGAGCTCTAATTTATGTATTTTGTAATTACCTAATAATTGTAATTAGTAACGTAGAGAATTCTTGTTCTCCTTGTTCCCCTGTGTATGTCAGCATGTGGGCATTACTTTTCTTGTAAAATAGTATCTGCCCACATACTGCCTCCGCAGTACAGCTGATGAAACAAAACTGTACAGAACTTCCTTTAAGTGGGGTAGCTTAATCCAAGGAACTGTATACTAAATAGAAAATACGCATGGTATTTAATCTCATTTGTATCACGTCTATATTCATGCTTGCCTTTGTCATAAACGTGTTATAGAACTTTGTCCTGAACTTGCACAAATTATATAACAGGTAGAGTTTTTTATATCTAAACACAGCTGCCGGCTGGGTTAAACCACGACACACAGTTAAGATTTTGTAAAATTAATGTTAACATTAACACATTAACCTCCTGTGGGATTCCTGCTCATTTGTTCTTCATCAGTAGTCCCAGTATTCTTCTTCTCATTGTTTTAGTGTACACATCTATTCTAGTAGCTGCAACAACTTTCTTTCACTCACTGTTGTTTAAGTGCTTTATCTGCCAAAATGAAAGAGGATTCTGGCTACCTTTGTTTAGACTGGCACACGTAGGGCAGGAGGTCTATGTATGCAGTGTTCCCTCTCACCCAACAAATTTCAGGTATTTCCAGTCTTCCTTAAATCTCCTGATCTACTTCACATTCTAGGTTCCAAATACATTTGTGTGCTAAACTTCAGATCTACTTTACTGAAATTCACCTGTTTTCTATTTAGATTTGTGGTGTCTTGCTCAAATATTTCTTCCACTAGAAATCTTTCATGCTTCTGTTCAGCTCTTTAAAATGCCATATTCTAACATCCAGAATCGCGTACTGACTTCAAGCTCAAAAGTTCAACTTTGTCCTTCATTTAAATAGTTTTAACTAATTTAGTAGTGTCTTACATTTTTATACTTATGTATAATTTAATAATCTGTTCTAAATATTGCCTCATTTGTCATGTACTCTGCATATTGTCCAATAAAGCTGCTGTTCTTTTTGAAAATGAAGCTTATATAAAGTAGTCATGCTCCAAACTCCTTCAGTTGTTTTAAGTCAACTGTTTTACTATTGCTCTGTCATTATTCACAAAGGGCTGAGTATTTTGATGCTTGGTCTGCTGTCAGAAACACTTCAGATCTGCCTGCGTTATACTCCTAGGCAGTGTCTATTTGCCACTATCGCTCTATATAAAGGTATTGCTTTCAATTTCATCTTAGAGTTTGCAGTCCTAATATTAGTAGTCTTAGTGGTCTTTAAAGAGCACTAGAGAAATTTTACAGTGGGTGATATTGTTATAGCTTGTACCATGTGGTCACATCAATTCCATAATTGTAGGAGTGTAAAAAAGTGTAGATTCAGAAGGTTTCAGTAGGTTCCTGGTATACAGCAGCATGATTCTGGACCAGGCAGTTTGTGGAATCTTTTTTTGGTGGCTCATTGGTTATTTAGCTAAGATGGAATACACATAGCAAAGGGAGATTGAGAGAGAACTTACTAGGATAGCCATTAAATCGGTAAGTGAATTGGCATATGGAAGACTGCTTCATCCTCTCTCATCGTTTGCTGTGTTACCCAACTGTAAATGCTTCAGTCCATAGGTGTTATGGTGAAACTTATTTTTAAGTCTTTACTGGTTTCTCTTTCATGGTTCTTACTTAAATCATATTAAAAAAAAAAAATCATACTTTTGAAAATGTCTAAAGCTATCTGAATATTCTGATACTGTATATTAAACCTCTAGTTTCCTGTCTCTAAATCAATAGCTTTTTCATTTTAAAAAGTAATCATTTGTCTGACGTGATTTACCTTTCACAAATCTGTGTTGACTTCCCCTATTAAATTGTACTTTTCCAACTGTATGCCTAAGCTGTCTATAAATATCATCTAAAAAATGTTCTAATATACATGCTATATATGAAATTTTCAGCTTCTCCTAGCCTTTCCAGATATTGAAAACTTACCTTCAGTAATCAGTTTAGATTTCCTAAAAATGAAATATTCAATGATTCAGCTTGTAGCTCTCTTAAATAGGTAATTCATATCCAACTGGGTCTCTGTCTACCTTCAGCTTATTGTGTGAGTAGTTATTTGAGTCCACTGAATTATTCCCCACTGGTGCTCCTTATCACTTAGATATGCTTCCTAAATCATCCTTCCACTATCAGGAGTAGGTGCAGAGCCTGAAGATTGCTAAAACTGCAGATGTTTTTATGAGGACTTCAGCACCTAGAATCAAAATCAGCATCTTTCCTTTAAACAAAAACAAATAGAAAAAAAGGCAGCTTGAATATTCTCCTATATAGAAACTACTTTTGAAGTGTTCGTAGATGCCTTTTGTTTCCTGAAATATAAGCAGTGCTATATAAGTGATGAAGATGATTTTCTTCATACATGTGGATTTTTGTGCTATATCAGAAAACACTGATACATAAGTTAAAATCTCCTGCACAAAGATCTACTGTCTTTCATTAAACTGAAATGTTCTGTAGCATTGGTGGAAATGAGTGAAAAATCTCTGAATATTAGCATCCAATTAGCCTTTATGGAGGTGATATCTTTTGCCTTTTTTCCACTCCAACCATGGTTCCTACTTCAGGAACACTATAGTGAGAGCTAGAGCTGGAACTACTTGGAATTTATTTCTTGCTCTGAATCCCTTGTGAGTCTGAGCTTCAGTTCCTGGTTGGTAAACTCAGAATGTAGAATCATAAGTTTACTGTTTTAATGTACTTGTAATGCTTATGACTTCAGTATTTCTGTTCTCATTTTTTTCTGCTTCTTGCTATTAATGTTGCCCTCCTACACCAACCTTTACTGCAAATATAGGTTATAAAAATCATTGGATTTTTGCACGTCTTATCTTCTCCCTAAATAGGTGACAAAAATTAATTGATAAATTGGGTTACTAATACGTGGTCTTAGACTTTTCTTGTTGCATACTTAGACCCATTGAAACTGAGCCAGAGTTCTGTTCTTCCATTTTAATGCATGCACTGTTTCAGCTTTAGCTTTCCTCTGTGGCGTTATATGTTGTCTTTTTTTGTTATTTATTTTAAAAGTAGCTATTCATTCCATAATATGAGTCTCAAGTAAATGCTATTTTGAAGTTTCCAGATCCTTCTATTTGAAGTTGGAGTAGCAAGATTTTCAAGAATAATTGGATATGGGAGGTGCCAGAGGCCTGATTGCTCTAAGGATGTGGCCTGCTAATTGCCTTAGGAAATCAGATTCCAGTGATCACATTAAAGGGCCTTATTTCTCACGTCTTCTGGGATTACCTTTTAAAGTTGGGTCACGGTGGCATACAAGATCTGATTTGACTTTTTAATCTTCTGATCCAAGAGCAAAGATAATGTTCTAATGCTTAAAGGTGTACAGGAACAGATCTCTGGTGATGCCTGACTTGTTCATGTCCCTTCTTTATTTCAGCCCTGACAACATGGGGCTGCTTGACCCAGCCACCAGCGATGGTAGAGTGATTTTTTTCCTGCCGTGGGAGAAGATGACTATTGCAGGCACCACGGACAGCCCAACCGATGTTACGTCCCATCCGATACCAACAGAAGAAGATATAAACTTCATTTTGAACGAAGTGCGCAACTACCTTAGTGTTGATGTTGAAGGTAGGGCCTTGAGTTCTGGGTTTGCAGTGGGAGGGCTGGACCTGCAGTATTTCAGTTTGAGCAAGTGCTGTCTGTCTAAAGCGTTGGTTCTTGTGCATCTAATTCTGGTGGGATGCAAGTGTCATCTTGATCTGTTTCAGAGCTATCAACGAGGCTTTTCCAGATATACTTGCTTTTCTTGTACTATTTAAATGGAAAGCAGTTGATATCTGCACAGTCAGATTTCACATACTTTTCATCTAACTGGCAGTAGCTGTGCAGTCAAGTCATTCGGGGCTTTTTGTGTGGCAGATGCAAAGTTCTGTTGACATGGGTCAGTTCAGTCATACATCAATACAAGTGCATTGAATTAATACGCTTTTTGAATTAATACACTTTTCTTGAAGGAAAAGTTGTTCTGACTTTGTCTTGCACCTTTGTCTTTATCTCCATTTTGTAGGCATCTTTTCTTAATTGCTCTTAATGATATGATAAATACCTAATAGTTTTTCAGTTGGAGGGGGAAGTATAATGGGCAGAAATGGGATTTTTTTAAAAAAATCAGTTGGTGATGGTGGTTCGCCTCAGTAGCTGAGCTGAGAGCGTTTTTGTTGTAAGATGCTGGCTCATTTGGATGCAGAGTGCTTGTTTAAAGTGAGAGGCTTCTTTACTTTGTAGCGAGACTTTTTATACCAGTTCTGTGAAAGCATTTGTGCTGCTGTATTTCTGTTGTAATAGCAGCACTAAAAAAATAAATCTGAACAACACTATTTTCCAGGAATACTGCAATATCTTAGATTTAGGAAATTTGCTATCCAGCAGTTGGAAATGTTGGATTACTTGATTCCTGAAATGGATAATTGGTGGCTCTGTACTTTACAAAATTCACAAAAAAACGGTTTTCAGGAAATGTACCTTTAGGTTTCTTAAGCAGAAGTAGGTGGAAGCGTGGTAGGCCAGACAGGTAGCTGGTAACATTAAGACCGAATAAAGCAGAAATTTTGCACAGTATTTTACAGAAGTGCATTATGAAGTGTTTAATTTTTTTTGAATGAAACCTACCTAGGTGCATGCTGTTTTTCACATATGCAATTAGCAGTGTTTATAGATTGCCTGTTATTGAATTAACAACTGTGCTGGCCATATCAACTCACTGCAGACCTGCCTTTTTGCTGCCAGAGACAGTGCCAGGGTTATCAACTTACACAGGCTTGGATGTGTTCCAACTGTTTAATTATAGTGTCACGCATGCTGCTTTTTCTAGTTTCATTAGTTTATAAATGTAATATGGTATCTTATTTCTGTGATTAACACTTCATTTTGGCAGGTTAAACATGCTGGCAGAGCACCATTGATTTCTGAAATCTATTTTGTGTTCTTTGGGGGATATTTTTACACCCTGTTAATAAAAAAAAATCAGTATTATTATTTTTATTATTATTATTTAATTATCAGTTATTTGAAAGTTTATTTCAAAAATGTTCTGGACCTTCAATATAAAGTAAATTGTTGAATTTTTTACATCGTAAATTTAATAATCAAGAAAATTCCATTAAATTATTGGTCACATGCTTTTATTTATTTTTATATATATAATAAAAAAAAAAAGTTGCTTTCAGAGGCTAGATTGTTTTCCTAGAATTGTTAAGGACTCTTTTTAACCACTTGTTGCCCTGAGGTTTTGTTCCTCCAAGTTCTCTGAAAAGTCAGGTTTGGCTTTAGGGATTGTAACTTGTAACTGGCAGGAAGCAGAGGGGTATGACTGAGAAGGGCAGGCTGTAAACGGCCATTTAGTCAGGTTTCTTGTGAAGAGTGAAAGTGCATCTGAAACAATAAGGTTGGGAAGGTAGCACTGGAAGAGGTGGCTGAGTGAGGACAGCGAGGGCTTCTAGATGGTTTGTGGCAAGTTAGCTGGGCCATTTGGGGTTGCTGTGCAGTAGCAAATGGCAAAGGTCTGGGTGAGGCAGAAGCTTAGGGGATGTGCTATAGCCTACCAGGTGCAAATGTGCAATTGGACTTCTGACAGAGGCTCTAAATAAGAGATCACCTATCAAGAGGAAAATCTGGGAAAATAACTTACCTGCTATAGAAAAACCTTTAAAGTCCTAAAAGCAAATGTTATGTCCATGTGGAATGAGCGTTATTTTGGTTTTTAAAATGCAACATAAGGACTATTCTGTTAGCAAAAGCAAGGACAAGATGTGGTGATAAGGTGGGGTTGGGTTGGGTTTGGTGAGCTGATGAGAGAATTTGACAGCTGAATGTCTTGGCTGATCAGTTCCCAGAATTTCCCTGTTCAGGTGAAGTTTTAATCAGTGTGAAAAATTAACTTCTCTCTGACTGATTAGAGTCTGATAATGGTGTTGATACAGATTGGTGCAGTCCTTAGGAAAGCAATACACATCTGTTCATGACTGATTTTGGCTGATCTTTCCTCTGGACAGTGAGAAGAGGAGACGTGTTGGCAGCGTGGAGTGGCATTCGTCCTCTGGTCACAGACCCCAACTCCAAAGACACTCAGTCGATATCCCGGAATCACGTTGTTACTGTCAGTGACAGCGGCCTTGTCACAATAGCAGGTACCTGAAGATCACTTCAAGTATGGCTTTGGGCTTCCCCACTGTATTTTATGCAAAAACTCCGTTCCAACAGGGTAATTCTTTGCATTCCTGCAATCAGGTAATGATCGATCTGTGGCAGTGTGACTCTCTTGTTAGAATGAGTCTGGTAAGAATAATGTGGTATGCAAAATGTGTAGTACATCGCAACTTTATGGTTTCCTTTGCTTTCCCTAAATAAAGAAGCAAATGTGTGATTACAGGTGGGAAGTGGACAACCTACCGAGCCATGGCACAGGATACCATTGATGCTGCAATTCAGGCACATGATCTGAATGCGGGTTCCAGTAAAACTATTGGGCTGCAGCTACAAGGGGCTGAGGACTGGAGTCCCACTCTCTACATTAGGTTGGTACAGGACTACGGGCTTGAAAGTGAGGTAAGTCCTTGTTATTGCTTATGCTCTGATACTTCTGTGTTAGAGGGTTTTGTCTTTTCACTAAACACAATACCTGCATAGTGTGTACTATGTGTCAGTGTGTATACTGTGTGTCTTAAATCTCGTAAGACCAGTAAGAGCTTTTCATCTGACTAGGGGAAGGATAGCTTTTCAAATAAATCAAAAAATAAATAAAAAGCCACCACACACACATACAAAAACCCACCTACTAATTGCTTGTCTTTTCTCTTAAAATGTCAAACACAATTTTTTCTTTCCCTTCCTCCTAATCTTCACTTTTTTTCTACTTTAAAATATTATGACACACTAGTGCTTATCTTCCTTAAGCCCAACAAAATCTATACTTTACATACAATCAGACTGTAGCAAAAGAGTTGAAGTATTGCTAGTCATTTATATTGATACCTATGTAGTAGTATTAGTGCTGGTTTTACCCATTGACAGCATTAGCTGTTTCCTCCCACATGATCAAAATCTAATACTCTCTACAGCTTCTTTGTTATTAGTGATGAGAGAATTGACAAGAAAAAAAGGTATATGTTTTATGTGCTTACAAAAGCATAATGAATTTTTCAATTCCACAGGTGGCTCAGCATCTAGCTTCTACCTATGGTGACAAGGCTTTTGAGGTAGCCAAAATAGCCCAAGTTACAGGAAAGAGATGGCCTATTGTTGGAAAACGCCTTGTGTCTGAATTTCCTTATATTGAAGCTGAGGTATGTAGGAAAAACTACCTAATACTCTGAGTGATTTTTTAGAAACAAGCAGGTTCTACTGCAGGTCCATCTCACTCTGAAAAACACTTTCTTAAGTCCTTTCCTTTAAGGTCCAGATTTTTTCATTTTTTTCACTTCCCCTGAGCATGCTTATTTCTATATAGATAGATAAATGATTAAATATATTAAATATATTGCATATTACATTATACACTTATATTGAATATATGCTCATCTGTGTTTTTTCCCCCTTGTCTTACTATTTAGGTCATCTATGGTGTAAAAGAATATGCCCGTACTGCTGTGGATATGATTTCCCGACGGACTCGCTTGGCCTTCCTGAATGTTCAGGCTGCTGAGGAAGCTCTACCAAGAATTGTAGATATAATGGGCAAAGAACTTAACTGGAGTGAACAGAAAAAAAAGGTACAAAGGGCCTTTTTCATCTAAAAGTCTTATTTTTTCTTCAGTAGTTTCCATGTTGACAGTCTAAATTAGTTGAATAGAAAACTTCAATGATGCTTTCTTCCTGAGAGAATGATTCACTTGGTGTATTTCATTCTAAAGTCTTCATAAAAATAGCTGTGAAATTCATTGGTATCTGCCAAGGGGTGGAGAGAAAGTGAAGATCTGTATCCTGTTGTTCTTCTAAAAATGAAGCAGCCTTGGTGTTAATATTTCAACATGAATAGGATAGTATGTTCAGTGACACTTCTCAACAGGTCCATCGTAGAAGAGGAGAATTTTGCAATTCGTATCACTCCTTTCTGTCTGCTGTGTCTTTTGAAAAGTGCTGATACTGAGTTTACTACCATTCTCTGGCCTAAATTATTTTTAAGGCCACTGTTTGCTTCCTTTGTCCCAGTGGTTCAGTGCTCGAACATACTGTAGGACTGGCTCATCTCATTTTACTTGCTGTGCTGATAACGTGGCTGTCTATTTGAGATAGCCTTTGTCTGCCTGCTCTGTAGTTAATGAGCTTAGTTCAGATGTCTTACCTTAAATGAAGGCACCCGATACCCATGCATTGAGTCACACCCTACATCCCTACTTAGAATTCCACAAACCATCAAAATCTTTGTCTCCAATCCTAGATGTAGACATCCTGTTGCTTTGGGGCTGAAGGGTAACTTGCGTGTTTATACTGAAGTATGTAAGATCAGAAGATCAACTAAACTATTCCAGACTGTCTTCAAGAGCAAGTCTCTGCTAGATGAAGCAGTTTATATTCATGTGCCTAGGAGTCTTTCCCTGTTACTGCAGCCATTACTCAGTATGCTTACACTTGTTTGTAATCTGTGCTGTGGCTTTTCACGGTGATGTTCTTTGTGGCAGATGCTTGCATTACTATCTTAGAACACTGTTTGGTGTACCCATAGCTGTAGAAAAGAACCATGCTCTACAGTACTTCATGAGATATAATTTGGTTTAAAAACCTTGCATGGAACTCCCAGGTAACAGATTAATATTATTACCATGAAAAACTGAAACAAAGAACATGCCTGATGTTGAGACTCGTGGTTTTTGAAAGATAAGTGAAATATTGTGATATCAGCTGTGTTAAATGGCATTTTGTTGGCCTCATCTGCAAGTACTGTTCTTAATGAATTAAATAGATACTCCATATGTGACTGAAGGCATGCCATGATCCTAAAAGCATTTACACCGTAATTAGAAGCCTTTTTTAGGCTTGATACTTCTTTGAAAGACTAAAAGTTGACAAAGATGAACTTCTTTTAATACTTTTCAGCTACCATCTGCTTAATTGTTGGACCTTAGGTAAACTGTTGTTACGTGGAAAGAGCAAATAAAGTACTAAGTTTTAAAAATAACTGTGTAGGGACTTACTATTCCTCAGATACAAAGACAGTTTTTTCTCATTTGTCATAGGAAGAACTTGAAGCTGCTAAAAAGTTTCTGTATTACGAAATGGGCTACAAAGTAAAATCAGATCAATTAACAGACAGCTCTGAAATCACTCTAGTGCCTTCAGATATTGAAAGGTAAGTAAAATAAGAGTTCCCTATGTTGCTAGGAGTTAATACCATCGAACATAGTTTTTGCCCACTGATAATCGTTATCTTGCAGGTACAAGAAGCGATTCCATATGTTTGACAAGGACAAGAAAGGTTTTATTACTATACTGGATGTGCAGCGTGTCTTGGAGGTAAAGTTTCCTTGTGTTCTTTTGGTTTCCTTCTTAAGCCTCTTACCTGTGTTGCAGTGTGGTATAAGTCATACTGAGCAATGCAATTGACTGCTTCTGTGTTTTGTTTTGTTTTTTTTTTGACTAGAGCATCAGTGTACAAATTGATGAAAAAACACTTCATGATATTCTAAATGAAGTAGATCTGAACAAAAATGGACAGGTTGAGCTCATTGAGTTTCTCCAGGTAGGTATTTCTTTGAAAAAAGTTGTAGATTTAACAAACAAAGGCATAGGTATTTTTCCCCTCTGTTCTGAAGAGCTGGGTTGGAGAGGAGGTAAATGATGCTTGGGTAACATGATAGTATTGATGCTGTTTGCCAGATTACAAGACAAAAATGACACACAGCCAGTTCCAGGCAACTGTAAAATCCTTGTATTTTATTCCTGTGCAGAAACAATTAGACCCAAAGAACAGGTCCAATTTTCAAAGTACACCGCAATACAGGTCTGATTTTGGTTTTCAATACAGAAATGATACTTAAGTATACTGAAAGTAAGATAGTTGTCTATCAGAGGGTACGTTGTGGTTATGCACCCTGACGTTTAACTAAGCCAGTTAAAATGATTGAAGTATTCAAAATAGCTTAGAAAGTACTAAAGAAGTTTACGGTTAAGGTACATCCAGTCCATATTATTCCACCTTCAGCTCCTGGGTTGATAAACAATACCTTCATTTGTATGAAAGATATTACATTGACAACCTGTACATCTGCTTTTTGCAGGGATTTAAAATAAGAAAATTAAAGGTGCTACTGAAATGTTTGTTCACCCAGCTCCTCTAGCATATGCAGGATGCCAGTTAGCTTTGTTTTTGTAGAGTTTTTCTTGGTGTGGTATTTCAAGTGACTGCCATGTCTTTCCTACATGGTGGCAATGATGAATGCCGAACATGAGATAAATTAATGCTGGGGATTTTGGTCAATGTCAGCCCTTTCTTCACTGTGTCAAGTTAAACAAACAAGATCAAGGCAAAGGAAATGGTAATTGTCTCTCTTGAGATGAGCTGTAGATAAGACGAGCATTGTTGAATCTAAATGCAGAAAATTTTCACAGGTTGTGTCCAGCATTAGAAAAAAAGGACTGTTTATTTGCTTAAAATGTGGCAATTCAGCTGGGTAACTGGAATGTACTTTTAAAAATGGTTATATATATATAATATCCCAGAACCGTCTTATTGAAATATAAGAGAGAATCATAGCTGATTGTCTGGCTATTGAGAAGGGTCTCCCTCTTACATCGCTTTGCATAAGAAAACTTACAATTAGAGTGGGGAAAAACCTACACCACTGACTGTAATGACTGTGTTAAACTATAATTTGGTTAGTTTGGATACACTGTGGTTAAGTCAAAGCAACCAGCAATTAATGTCTGCTGTGGATTTGTCTGTGGTGGCTTTGTTTTTTTTGCTTTACTCTGATAACAGTCTCATTAGGGGTTGCCTATCCAAAGTCATAATACCTCTAAAATACAAATGACAAGTCACTGTTTTGTTGTAGTTTCGAAGTTACTTTTTTTTTTTTTAATTGTGCAATTATTTGGCTACTGGCTTCTCTTTGAGAAGAAAATGTTCCTAAACATTTCCTAATGTAAGCTGTATTCAAAGCTGATGACTGGCGCCGCAGTAAGGGTCACTTGCGCCCATGCGCTCCCTTCCTGCAGGGGCAGGGAGCAGCACGCAGGGAGCTGCTGAGCAGGAGTGAGCTAGGAAGTGCAGTGACAACGTTAGCAGGAGGTTGCCATGGAAGGAACAAAATACGCTAAATGTTTGTTTAATTTTTTAATGGATCTGTTAAGTCAGCTCCCAATACTTTTGTGTTTGCTCTCTGAAAACTTTCAAGTAATTACATTGTACTGCCAGAATGCTTGTGGAAAGCAGTGTGCAAATATTTGTGGACGTTCATATTAGAGTATAGGAACACGTTGTCCCGGGGTGGCGGCGTTGCTTTCCAGGTGGTGAGCAGAGCAATGCCAAGTGGTCTCCTTGGCCCAGCTGCAAGCTGCCAGTGTGTCCCAAATGCTGGTCGTGGGGAACCGCTCTCAGCAGCCACTGGTGTTTGGAGGGGTCTCACAAATAGATAGCAGGCCAAATTGATCAGTGTCTAACACTAACAGGTCGTTCCAATTTACAGTTTTAGCAATGAATTTTCTCCTGCTGGCATCTATTTATTTTTTGACCATTGTACCACCTGTCTTACCACAATGGTTGCTTTTCTGAAGGCTTGCATACTAAAATTTTGTTTTCATGGCATTGCCAGAGGGATCAGTCATATTTTTGTCCAGCCTCTTCCCTGAAGAGCATGCAGTATAGCTGGACAAGCCACCCCCGAGGCTGGTCATGGAGTGTCTGTGAAGCAGAGCAGATTAGGTGTAACAGCAACGCCACTCCTAGAGCCTTGTTAGCATCTGCAGGGACCACTTCGGAAGCAGGAAGGGAGGCAGGGGAGAATAATGCTAAGTCTGAGCGATGCTGGACTGCCCTTGCTGCCTGTAGCTGCTCTCTTGCAGCAGGTCTGTGCTTCCCATCCTCCTACCTCTGCCTTTCCTCGGGCTGCACGGGGTAACCAAAAGGCCTCCAAAAGGCATGGAAGTTCTTCCAGCCTGGCTGTGCCTCCCCTTCCTGAGTAATCATTCCTGTTTTGACAGTGTTGATAGCACTTTTCAATAGGTCCAGCTGCAGATATAATACTTCCCTATAGAAGGGAAGAAATCTGAAGGAGTCCAAGCACTCAATGGGAGTAAGAAATTGCATTTTGTAAGTGCCAATTGCTTTCCACAGTAGTCTTTGACAAGCTGACTGCATGTAATTTCAAGTCTAATGCTCACTTTATCCATGGGATAAAAAAGAATTAACTAAAATCTTAGCACTAGTGTGTGTTCGGTAAGGTAGAGCTGAGTCCAGTTTCAAGGACTTAAAGGCAAATTAGTTTTAAAAGTCTATAAAAATTTGGATTTGAAAGAACTGTGGAAGTCAAGTACGCTACCTCTACAAAGAAGAGCATGTGAGTGAAAGGGTATAGTCCAGGGTCAGGAGCGGAGCAGGAACTGTGTTCTTCTGTAAGTTTCCATCAGATTTTTTTTAAAAAAAAGGGAAAGAAAAAAAAAAGTGGGGGGAGGAGCCTGTGAAATAGATGGGTTATCCTACTTTTTTAAATGCCACTGAAAAAAACAAATAATGGTGTTAATGGACACCTGCTTCAAATTGGATCACAACTGGTGGTTCTGTTGCCACTCAGTCCTGGCCAAAACTTTATTTACATTTTCCAGAAATATCAACTGAGCTTTGAGGGGGGTCTTTGAAACTATGCAGCAGTTTTGCTTTATATGTGGAAGAATCAGTTTTGTATCTACATTGACACTTGCCACTGGCTCTTGGGCAAACTGATCAGCTCAGCCATGGTTTACCCGGGAGCTGTGCTGGTGCCCAAGGGGCAGGACATCCCGAGATGTTTGCACATCTCTCGTGTGGAGGAGGTGGTAGCACGGCTGGGGCTGCACCATCTGCCTCTGCTCTTTGTCTTGCAGATAAGTTAACGGGATGCTCTCCGTGTTGTTTCTTTCAGCTCATGAGTGCCATTCAGAAGGGCCATGTGTCTGGAAGCCGGCTGGCTGTCCTCATGAAGACTGCCGAAGAGAACTTGGGCCAGAGAGTGGTGATCCCTGTGGACCGCAGCGGTGGAGGGCTGTAGCTCGAGCACAGCCTCTGCTCGCGGCCGCGGCTAACGGGTATGCGTGGCTGCATCTCTGCTGAAAACATTCCAGTGCTTTCGACTGTCCTTGCTTGTTCAAGGTGACTGGTATTTGTCCATTGGTGTAGCATTTACAAAAATACACTGGTGCACTTGTTTTACTAATGATTTTCTGTACAGCTCTTAACACTCCAACATGTGGCCTTTCGGATTGGGTATGCTTTAGACGTAGAAGTTTATTAACAAGAAGCTGGAATGCAGTCCAGAAAGATCTGGGTGTACACACACACGTGTGCACGTGCTGCCTTGTTCATTAACTTCTATACCACCTTTACCTTTAAAGAAAAAGTGAATCCTGCCTTTAAGGAAAGCATTGCGTTGAGATTTGCAAATATGCTTTTAATACTTAAAAGCTGCAGGGCTGTCCACTTCAACAAAGATCAGTAGAGGGAAAGCTGATGTTCTGGCTTCGAGACAATATCACAAAAGGAACAGAACAATTCAGTAAAGAACTGTCAGGATTATTTATACTGCCTTCCATTGACGGTAGGTTTTGCTCTTTTTGAGTGTTTTGTTATTTCTGTGGTATCTATACTTAGCAAGACACAAGTATCAGCAGTATGAAGCTGGAAAACTACAACACACCTCAGTTGATCATCCAAACTAATAATTCAGTTAACACTAGAGGATGGCTTTCCTTTCTCCCATCTTAGTAAGAATAAGCTTCCTTTAATAAATAGCATTGTCTAACAGGTGGCATTTTATGCTGTGAAGTGCTTTGTACTGTTTCCAGTTTGGGACAAAACAAACATTGGTCCTATGTAGAACATGGCAGTTTTGATAACTCAAGTTTTTATTTAAAAACTCAAAGTCACACAGTGAAACTTGTTTTGCATTCCGCTAAATTTTCTGCAAAAGTGAAAGGGCTATTTTTCTGCAGATTAATGTAAAGATTAAGAAAAATAAATAAAAAAATTAGGACTACTCACTTGATCTGTTTTCAACAGCGTTGCAACTGGCTGTTTGCCTTTCTGCTAGGTCGACTAAATTCAAGATCAAATGGAAGATTCTTGCCTGATGTAGAACAAGGAAGGAAAAACAAGAGTGGTTTATTGATCAACTTATTCTGTTATGTTTGAGTATAAATACCAGTTCACAACTCAAAAACCTCCGTTCTAAGGGTTCAGAATTTCTGCTTATGTGAAATCTGATATTTGAACTGCTGTCACCACTTTTACTAATGAAAAACATCAGCACAATAACACAGCAAAGATTATTTCTGTATTTAAAAGGGAAAATGATTGTCTAAATGAAATGGAGAGGCTGAGGAATATTAGTATATAGTATAATAAGCACAGATGTTTGCAGCTGTAGAGGCAGAGTCCTTTTAATAAAATAATTTAAAAAATGTCAAATGTTTTTGAAACCTTAAAAAAAAAAAAAGTGAGGTCAAGCCTCATCTGTAATTCTGTAAATTAGTGTATTTCTTTTAGTCCAAGCAATTGGTAAAATCTCTCCAGGTTTATTTCTGGAAATATTGGGTAAAATGCCTTTAACTGATTTCTTGCATGTTAAATTAAATTTAACTGAAATTTCAGCTGCCTGAAAATGCAGATGTTGTTAAGGGGTTCTGACTCTTGCTTTGAGTCCTGTACAAGCTAGGCACAGTCTATGTGAATGACGAGTTAGCACATTTGACAGCATAAGAAACATTTTTATGAATGAAAGGGTTTGTTTCTGTGGTACTGTAAACTTTCTTGAAATATATTCTAGTTTATTCAAGTAAGTATGCTAATGTTTGGCACAGCTTCACATTACCAAAACCCTTCTCAAATAAGAACACAATAAGATTTTACATACGCTGCAGGCTTGGATGGAAATGGATGTACAATACACAGGTTATTTTGGTTCAGTGAGTAGGAGCCAGGTAAGGAGGGAAGTGGTTTAGGATACTGTTGTTAATTTAAAATAAAAATAAAAATTGTAATGAGACCTTTTCTAGGCCACAAAAAGAAAAATATTTAATGTTCAACATCCCTTGTATTGTATAAAGAAAACTCCTCTCCCACTCCTCTGTAAGTGGCACTGTTAAGAATTAATAGTACGAGTTTCGCTGTGAAGCCAGGATTTTCTGCTTTGTACCCAAAGTATATTTTGTTCTATTGTTTCAGTAATACTGCATACAGAACGTGACTTTGGGATTTTCTTGGCTATATGTGTGTCCTCCGATATGAATGTGCTTTGCATCTTAGGCACTTTACTGTCATGGATCTCTTTTGTATGGCACAGCAAGATCTTGTATGACTGCCTTGTGTAAAGAGGAGATTGTGTGTGTTGCTTAAAACAACTGAATATATACATGGAAAAAAAAATCTAGAACCGTTTATTTCATCACTTTGCATTTGTTTTTGGGAAAGCTTTTCTTGTTCGTTGGCTTTTCTGTTTTTTTCTCTTTTTTTTTTTTTCCATGTGAATGTACTGCTGAAACAGTTGTTGTAGATGTCACTGTCATGCATTGTTCGGATCCCAGGTGGAAAAATAGTGTTGTGACTTCTGAGGAGGGAGCTGGGTTTCTGGAAGGGGGCGTTTTGTTTATGCAGTAAGCTGCATGACGGGGGGAGCGCGGGTACATGCGCGTGTGTATAAATACACATACGCACACTGCATGTTTTACATGTGGCACTTAACGTATTTTGTTAAGTTATTGTTCTAGACTGAACTGTTAAATACTGTGTTTGAGGCTGGGTTGTCATTTTTATAACTGTCTTGGTGTTTTACTGCCATTATTTATTACTTTTGATATACAGAATGAGCCGCATGCATTTATAGAGCAATAAGAGGATGTATTTAATGTGCCTTGTTTTTAACTGAGTAAGAACTGAAAGCATGAATCAATAAAACTGAATAAAAATGGTC